CGGCTGCTTACTCTAAGAACTCCAGTACTTTGGGGAAATTGGATTTCACTTCCCAAAGAGAGATGGTCTGGAACTGTCAGAAGCTCCGGATTTCCCAGATGGTAGACTCTGGAGGCTTTTACAGACTGTGAGGAGAAATTCTTTCTATGAATTTTGTGCTCTGATGGAAGGCTCGAGCATGTTTTGAGAGAGTGCAGATTGGGTCCTGTAACCTTATGGCATCAGTCCAGTGAAATTATTTTGAACTAAGCTAAACTGCGAATGTGTGCAGGTCTAAATAGCACTGTTTGCTGTCTCTTAAACACTTGCTCTTATTTTCAAGTGAAATAGCTATTCTAGCTGTGGTTTTTCTACTTTGTGCGAACTATACTGGATGAGGGAAGGCTTTCACTGAAGCTCCAATGGTCATAAATAAGGAATTTTGTTCATATAAATTAAACAGATGTTCCAAGCACTGTCTGTCCTGTTTTACTCATGATTGTTGATGTAGTATTCTCCCGTTTTGGTTAAATGCTCTCATTTTCTTGGTATGAAAAGATGTGTTTTTCTGTGACAAATCTGACACACCAGGCTTATGTGTGTAAGTCAGACAGAGTAATGGAGATGAAATTCAGGTGGGTAAGAGATTCTGCCCACTCCTACAGTAAACCCACAAAGGGATAATTTCAGCACATGGAGTTTTTTCTCAGTTTGCTAAGAACCAGTTTTTCCCCCCTTGTGGAATGGGCACGTACACCTTTTGGTCTCTGGAGTGAGGATAAGGCTTGTGATGTACATTCCCTCAGAGAACAGGAAAAGCTCACACTTGGATGCGCAGTCTCAGCAGAGGAACATATCTGTAGGAGACAATGCAGTGAGCTTGTGTGCTGTTTTGTTTACACAGAGTAAAGATGGATTTAAGTTAAAACGAGCAAGCTTGTATCCCTCTGCTAATTTCATCGTAGAACATCAACCTACGGTGTGTTCTGTTTTCTTGCCAGAAAGTAGTGTTTGTACAGAGATGCTTTTCTTCTAAAAATGTGCTCTGAAGAGACTGAAGATAAGTGAAGTCAGATACTCAAACTGATTTAGCGTTTATTTATTTCCCTCTTCCTGTAGGCTACAGTTCTGTGTCAGTCATTTATCTTGGAATGAAATTGTGATTGCTGCCATCATGGGGTTGGGGTTAGAGGAGACTTTGGAGGAGAGGAATTAATATAAATTTATAAGATATTGCTTGCATAAATAACATAAAACAATAGTATTTATACCCTCTTACAGCACAGTTACCTAGGATAATACAGACAGTAATACTATGATATGGACATGGCTGCCATTCCGCTATACGTAGCTGACTTGTTCTTCTGTTTTATCAACTTCATTCTCTGTGAGCAGCAATGTATCCAGCAGAATGGCCGATGAGGCTTGGATAGGTGAGCTCCTCAGCCTCATTGGGCTCTGGTACATAATGGGGTTAATTCCATTTCTCATCCCGTGCATGACAAAAAGCTTGGAATTTTCTGCCACAGAGCTTCTGAAAGAGATCCTGCTGGAGCGCTTCCGAAGGGCCTTCATAGGCTTTGTGGTCCGATAGTTGCAAGTGATATACCTGCTGAAAGCCTCCCTAAATGTTTTGTTGAAGAGTGTATAGACAAGAGGGTTCACTCCTGAGGATACATATCCTATCCAAACAAATATCTCCATAAGCTTTTGAAAAACTTCCTGGTTGCAGGAGTTGCACAGAACTGAACTTATGTTTGTTATGAAGAATGGGCACCACATCAACAAGAAAAGAAAAAATACAATCCCCAGGACTTTTGACGCCCTTTGTTCGTTGGTTATCGTTTGCATGGACTTCCTCCCAATTGTAGATGTTCTGCTGATAGGCATGTCACTGGACAAAGTCTTGTCCTTTCTGGAGCCATTTAGCATGGCCACCTTTTCTGGTGAGGAGGCAGGTGTTGTGTCACGCTGAAATACTGTGGACACTGTTGACCAAGTGAAACGCTGTGGTGGCTTGTTGATCAAGTAGGCCTTCTTGCGTAGCACTTGGATTGTCAAAAAATAAGTGACTATCATGATAGTGAGGGGAATGAAGAATGCAGCCACGGATCCGTACAGAATGAAATCATGAAATCGATCAGGCATCAGGACACACGTGATGTTTGTAGAGTTGCCGTTTCCATCTTCAATGCCTCTGATAGGAATCGGAATAGCAATGCCTACAGAAGAAAAACCAAGTACTTCAGCATATGGTAATCACTTGCAATCTCTTTTTTTTGGGCCTGAAGCCTCAGGATCTCTAAAGGTAGTTCCTGAGCTGTGGAGCAGGTACAGTGTGATGGAGAGAATGTGAATTGTTGAGACCATCACGTGTGTAATTGGGCAAATAGTACTTTATAAGACTTGGCAAGCTCAGCTTTAACAGAGTGCCCTTTCTAAGGAGACTGGCCTAACCCTTAGTGATTGAGGAAGCAGTATCAAGTTGCCAACTTCTCAAGTGTAAAATACGTGAATTGCTTTGACTCTAGTTGTTAGAATTAGTATGGCTTTTCCTCCAGTGAAATGTGTTTCCCTAATGCCATCTGCTTTTTTTTTTTTTTTTCCCCACCCACAGGGGTAACCTTCACACTTTTTGAAGGGCCATTCCGTAAATACATAAAACTTGTCTTTCCCTTTTATCTTAACTGCATCAAGTGACTGGACACAGACAGCTGATTTTTTTCACCCTGCTTGACTCTTTCATATATACAAGCAGTTAAATAGATGCCAGAATTATGCACTGTGTGTTTGAGATGGATTTGTTGTTTAAAGTCTCTTGCATATTTAAGAGTGTTTAAGTGAGGCTAGCTAGCTCTGTAATTCACTACTTGTGTTAAAAAAAAAAAAAGTTAGCAGTCTTGTCTTTTAAATGAATTTTTTATAACCACTAAATTACAATCAGCACTTCATTTGCCAGCAGTCTGACATTACAACAAAAACAACAGGTTCCTTGCTGTCTGGTGAAGGTTATTTGTGCTATGTTTGCTGATACCACTTAATGAGATCTAGGGATTCACTCTTTTCCTCTGCTGCTCTGCTCACTTAAGTTGGTTGAAAGCAGCAAGAGCAAAATGATTTACCCTTCAGCCACTTGATCCCTTTCTTAATAGGAGGCACACCTTCACATACAGCAAACACTTAAAATGAGGATTGAACCAAATTAACCTTTGATTTGGAGAAACCTGTCTCAGCTGCAGAGTACTGGTGTTAGATAAAAAAGGAATGAAAAAGTACAGCACTGATTAATAACAATAAATCAGGCATTAAAAGGTCAACTTGTAATTGTCTTGTCATGCTAACAGTTTCCTTTTTTTGTGATAAAATAGAGATAGAATATTTTCTCCTATCATCACAGCCCTTCCAGAATTTTTTTCCAAGCTGGAATTTTTGGGTTTGGGCATGTATGCCTCAGCTGAGAAAGTGAATGTGCCCATTCTCCTACCAATCATTTGCCTTAATAATCCAGAATCATTTTCTTCTTTCTCTTGCTCAGAGCATGCAGCGCTATGCCTATGGCTGCCTGCAGTGCACATTAAGTTATTTGAATTAAATGTTTGCACCTCCTTAGCTCATTTAACAGATTTATTTTTTTTTTAAGCATTGAAGACAGGTGAGGTGCCATATGCACATCACAGAGATACTACTATCATAAAAGTTTATATATTGGCATCCTTTATAGAAACTGTTCAGGGTTTGTTGGAGGTTTTTTTGCTTAGAAGTTAGCCTTTCTATATGCTATATTGCCAGTGCATCTCAATCTTCAGTGTGAATGTTACGAGCCACTCATTTATCTGTCAGCCTTTGGTGTAAGCAATTAACCTTTTTTTTACTTGCTTCATGGGACAACTGTAAGGCACAGATTTTAGCAGCATCTACTCAAGGCTTAAAATTGTGTTTGGGACAGAATATACTACCACAGGAACATGAAATCTTGCATTACCAGGAAACACGCTATGCATGCAGATACTGTCTTCTAATTGTTGGACTTTTAGGACCATGAAGAAGAGTGATGGTTATCCCTACTCAATCCTTGCCTTTTCTGGTAAGCCTGATACGGAGCAGTGGTTCAGGCAGGTTTTTATGATGTGGCTATGTATGATCCAAGAGGTGGACATAGGCCAGCCCAGGTGTTAGGGTCTGCTGATCAAATAGTACTTGGCCAAACTTTCCATGTTGCCCAGCTTTCACCTATTGTTTTGGGCATGAAAAGCCTCTGCATTCGTTTTGCAGTCTGAGTCTCACATACCTATTGAAATGAGCCAAACCACGATGATTTTGATGATTGTTGTAGCCCATGAATTGTACTGACTAGCCTGGATTGGCTTTTTAATTGCAATATAGCGGTCTAGTGAGATGGCACAGAGGTGCATGATGGAAGCTGTGGAAAAGAGGACGTCAAGGAACAGCCAGATAGGACACAAGGCAGTTGGGAAAGGCCAGGCATTGTCTGAAAGAGAACAGAAAACTCATTAGAATCTAGGCTTTCAGTGTATGGTTTTCCCTTGGCATCATTACCTTTGAGAAATTCATAATACTACAGGAACTGAGCTTTGCCTCAGCTGGATTCTGTCTTACATTTTAGTTAGGTCCTGATTGGCATGGTTGCCGCCATTGTATTGATCAGTCTGTCTGTGTGTTATAAGCCTTTCCCTGTCTTTTTGTCCTTTTTAGATCATGAGCTCTTTGTGGCGTGGACTCTGCATAAAAAAGTTTTCAAAAAGCGGGCCATGACTGTGCTTGGTCTTTGCACCCTTCTGTTAAATGGTTGTTTTCAGCTCTGTCTCCTTGATAGTGCTATGATTCAAGGTTGTATTAAATGGAGGAGATAACGGGTCATAACCAATGTATTAGTCAGTCATTGGAGAGCCATGGTTGAATCTTAGTGGTCATCTTTAAGAATCTAGTTCAGAGTTTTAAACACAGTTTACTGTGTCACTTGACCAGATAAAGTTGAGCACTGTAAGAGTTGGTCCAAAAATGAACCATCACAAGTCCACTGAGTGGACCATGACAAGCACTAATGTGGCAAAGCAGGGCTCTTCTGTGTCAGTAATGATATTACAAAAATTAAAGGGCTTTCATGCACCTTTCCCCCCGCCCTGGGTGCAATGGCTTGGATTTTAAATCTGGCATCCTGTTTCTTTTAGTAGTTATCTGTCTTTAATGTTAACCTTTATAGCAAACGTAGGGTCTGTCAACTGCATTTGTGTGCAAGATAAAGGTTTTGTATTGTTCAGCTTTCCAAAAGGCTCGCATTTGAGAGCTGGGTCACAGATATCAATGATAACAATACCAAACCGACTGGACGTTAATGAAATTCTAATTATTTTTTCTTAACTGCTTTTTATTCCACTTACAATTAGTTTGCATTGCAATCCAGTGCTAGCAGTGTTCAATTTAAGGTGTACCTTTAGTGTTGTGTGTCTGTAAGAATGTTCTGTAGTCCTAGGGGAAGAATGTGTGAACACAAAAGTTTTTTCTATTTCTAATGATAGAAGTTGGTCTACTAAATATATTCTCCTTCCTTATAAAAATTCAGCTATACTCAGTCAGTAGGCACATTAACAGTATTGTCACAGAAATCAGTTCTTTGTTGAATGATGATTAAGGAAAAAAAAAATTACTAACAAATTAGATTGGTTTTGATCTCTTTGCTCTGAATAAATAGATCTGCACACTAAGAATGCGGAATGAGCTGGGCTATTGTAATGCCCAGTCTTACCAGTGTGGTAATGTTGCAGTAGTTTGAGATTAAAACATTTTTTTCATAATGTGACTGATAGAAGGAAGTGATAATGGCACTGCCTTGACTTTGAATTATAAACTCCAGAGAATGGAAAATTTTACAGTCGGACATAGCATGTACTTGTCTGCACTTTTACCTATGTTGGGAAACCTCTCCCAGTAAACTAAGAGTGTGGCTGGATGGAGCCCTGACCCAAACCTCACCCACCCCAAAGCAGTGGGCTCCAGGTGAGGGTGATGTAGACAGTGACACAGAAAGGAAAGCAACAGTCTGTTTTAAAATCATTAACCAGTAAATTTTAGTATCTAGCTGCGTATTTCCGAAAATAGCTATCATGGCTGAAATTATTCTGTCAGGCAGGTATGAGAAAGTTGTAATTAGTATGTAATGAAACACTTACTCATATTTAGTTTTTCTATTTACACTTGCAGCTGGCAGTAAGGTATGGTGCCTTTCTGATGGGGGGGAAAAAAAAAAAAAGGAAAACCAAAATATTTTGTGGCTCATGTAACCAGCTGTGGGGGGAAAAAAAAAAAAGGAAAAAAATCCAGTTAAAAGAAATAATTTCTTTGATGGGCTTTAAATTGCTTACTCCAGAAAAATAAGATGATTACTTTTGACTCTGTGATGAAGGATTAGTTCAGATAAAATGTGAACAATTAGTGGAAAGTATATTCTACATCTTGAAGGATGGCAGGTAGCACAGCTGGATTTCAAGTGAGCAGCTAATACTTCTGTTAGGGAGTACTTACATGCCACTCCTGGATTAGAACTGCTTTGCTTTCTGGTGACTTGCAGTGTCATAAATTCTTTCCTTGTGTAGTTAACTTCCACTTTGCAGAAGAAAACCATCAAATATTTTTCAACAAAAAGTTCTTTTCCTTCTTTTAAATATAGATGCATTTAAGCAGCTATCTGATGCAAAGCAACCTTGTACATTTTTACGAGTTGTAAGAGCTTTTGTTAGTTGATAAGTGCAACTGGACAGAGAAAGCTTTGTCTTTATTGGTGTTGTGCTTTGAACTGGATGCAGAAGGCAGTAAGTTATCACATTCATGATTATAGCATTGTGTAGCAATACATTTGTGTGTATGCCATGATGGTTTTTATCCAAACAAAATCAGAGTAGACTTTAAATGCAGTAGCTGATAAGAATTGAAGAATATGGTTATTATTTAAAACAAATATTGTGAAACTGATACCTTAAAGTGCAGAGGAGTCATGTAGTTGTCTAGGATTCATGCTGTGGTGTGTTTTGGTTTTACTTACTTTGATTGTTGGTTACACCTGTGTTAGAAACTCTGTGCCTAGTGTTTGAGGGACTACACTTAAGAGAAGATGAGCTTTCACCACAACTGTCTACCCTTGATTAATCTTTATTTAAGAAAAGCTTTACTTGTAGGAAATACCTTGGAGATGTGTAATCTTTAAAACAAAGGACAGTATAGAAGAGCTGCTCTAAGCCAAAAGGTTTTGAAAGCTTGGGAGAAAGCACTGCTTCTGTACATGTATAAGCATGTTTAAGAGAGATCTTCAAATAGACTTGAAAACCATTTGTTCCTCTGCTATAAGGGCTGCTGAAACGTGTTGCCTGTAAAGGATTTTGTTGCTGTTAAATAACGATGCTTTTCCCGAGATGAAAATTGGATATGTTTAATCAGTAGCTGACTTAAGCCTAGGTTTCAGTCTTCAGACTGGTGTGCGTGTGTCTGTAGCCTGCGTGTGTCTGTAGCCTGCGTGTGTCTGTAGCCTGCGTGTGTGGTGTTCACCTTCGTGTCAGTATTCAGCATCGTGGACTGCACAGGCCTGGTGTTTCCAAGCTGCTGACTTGCTATTTCATCCCCGCAGCTGCCTGCCTTTGTTTCTCCGCTACAATTAGAGCTTCAACAGTAGTTGTTCGCTGTCATGTAGTTTTTTTTAATTTAGCCAGAGTAATTTTGTTGTTGTTGTTAGAGTTGCTTTGTGAGGAATACACCTTTTGTCCTCCTTAACTTTAGATTTGAGATTTTGGAAGGTAGCCCTCAGTTAAATCAGTTTTCTCTGGTAGTTTGCACAATCAAGGAGGGAAGGTTCGTCATCAATAACAGGAGAAAATAAAGACAGAGATTCCTTGTGGTAGATGTTAAAAATAATGGCTTGCAGCCTAGGCCAGTCAACGTTACCTTCTCATTTTTAAGTGGATGAATATCAGGAACAGAGAATATATTTCGAAAAGTGGTACATGCACTGTTTCCAAGTAACCCACTGCCCACCAGGCTGTGGCCCACAGAGTTCTTCCTGCTCATTTGCAGGCTTTGAAAATGCGAGGATCTCTCAGGTTTATTTGCTAATGTCACTATCTGATGAATAGCAACATTTTTGCCTTTCTTCAGTTGTTCTGAGTGTTAGAAATTAGGATAACTCTTTTGAAAGCTAGATTTCAGAGAATGCAATTATTTCCTAACATGCCCTCCTTTTTTTTTCCAAAGAAATGAGAAGAATTTAGCAAGCAATAAAAGCAATGAACTGTTTGTATATTCTGACAGTCCCATTCCTAAATTAAAATTGCAGTGTATGTTTGTACCAGAGTATGTATTGGTTGCTCTGCTGAGAATGAATGACCTGCTGCTCAGTATTATACCTGTGAGTGAGTTACAGATTTATTTATTTACCTACTTTTAAAAGGAGCAGCTCTTTATTACAGAGACAGTCTATTTCTGAAGATTTTTCTGTAAGCGTTCGTCAGGGCATGGAGCCAGTATCTAGTAGGTTTTGAATTTGAACACACTGTGACACATTAGTTTTTACAGTCAATGTCATTTAATGTGACTGCACTTCAGCTCACACCTTTTCCCTCAAATATTCTCCACATAATTAGATAACAGTCGCAAATGGGAAGCATAATATTTGTATTCTGTATCTAGAAGCTGCACCCAGCTCTTTCATTATTATGGAAACATTCCTGTGTGGAAGTGCCAGGAGGCTGGATTTAATTTGCTCTCTGGCTATCAATGATTGTTCTGTGTTCAAGTAGTTATCTGGCTAATGTAGCTTCAAGATTTAGACTAGTTGTGTATTTAAATGTCTGTTCTATCTTCATTCCAGTAACTCCTCGTGTTTTGCTCATGCTTTGAACTTCTATAAACACCTCAGCATCTTCTCCCAGTCGATGAAGAGGGAAAGCAGTTTTTCTTTTTGGCTGCCAAAGAGAGACTTGTATGCAAGAAATTTCTGTTTTAACTGCTGCTATGTGAAGGGCTGGTACTGGTCTTAGTTAATTATAACTAATTTTGCTACTTTCTTGTAAATTTCCTGCAACATGAAAGATGCTTTTGTTTGACTTCTAAATTAAGATTCCTGGCATGCTTTAAACTGTTGTAACCAGGGTTTAGCACTGGATTAATTGAGAGATTATGGAGCAATAGTCTCTTTATAAAGTTAAAAAGAAAAGATTTATTAGTCTAGCAAAATGAAAGTAATAACAAAAAAATTCGAAGTAAAAAAACTCCACCACCACCAAAAACCAACTGCAAAATCCAGAACTTGCCTTCCCTTTGTATTGATTGCTAGTCTAATACTAGTATTTTTTTTTATGGTTAGTAGTTTTATTTTTATTAGTAGTAAGACCTTTGGCAGGAGCTAAGCAGTTACAGTATCTGTGTGTAAGTTGGCATATACATATCTGTTTCTTGCCTCTACACACACGTGTGTACATACGGATGTATCAAGGTTTTTTTTTTTTTATAAGTGACTGTGGTTTTTTCAAGTTAGAAATCACTGTCCTGGTCATGTACGTTCATTTTTCTTTTTAGAAATCATTGCTTGAAAAAAGACTGCCTTGTGATCTCAATGCTGAATTCTGACCTCCAGTTCATACATCTGTTTAGGGAGAAGCAGTCTGTAATATGCAGAAACTCAGTCTGAAGGCATTTGGTGAATAAACACATTTGTTAATAAAGTGATACCAGTCTTCTGCAGCAAACAAAAGCTACTGATGGCCTTTCTGAAATAAAGTTTATGATTGTGTTTGCGTGTTGCTCGGAGAACTCTTGGAGATCTAGCATAGGAAAATTGAACTCCTGCAGCCTTTCATTATCTAGGGCTCAGTGGTATCTGTACCTTAAAGGTAATTGTGTAAATTCGTAAGGTTTTTGAAAAACCTGTCTCATTGATTATTTTTTCCATTTCTATGATACGAAAATAGACCATGTAAAATGTATTCTTAAAGAAACTTAGGAGTAAAAGAGAAACTTTCCCGTAGAGCTGCCTCTGATTAGTTGTCAAAAGCAATATCTGAAATAAAGCTGGGCATGGGAGAATATGAAAAGGTCATGCTTGGTCTGCAATCACTAACCAGAAAGAAAATGTCACACCCAATGTATGTTCATGTAAAAAATACCTATTTTATTCGATATGAACCAGACTAAATGGTAATTCTGAGTCTCAAACATTAGGTACACAGGTTGAGGCTTCCTTGACTTGACAGATGAGTTAATTGTTTGGGACACTTTACGAACCTGCTGCTTTCCCCAGAGTGGGAGAATATCGATTCTCTGATACTGGTAAAGTTTGTTGTCACTGATGGTGCCAGGGACCATCTCTGACTGCTTATGGAGCTGGGAGTCAATCCTAAGGTAAAATCAGGTGCCTGACTCCTAGGAAGTTCATAAACCTGTTCAGTATACTGAACAGATACCTATTCTTCATTTCATGTTTTTTAAGAGAAGATTGCCTGCAATTAGTGTAATATCTGATAGAACAGATGCCAATGTTGTGCTGATGTTGATAAAAACAATATTACGCTGTACAAAATGTAATTTCCCATGTTCAGCTCCCAACTTAGTATCAGTGCTAAGTCTCAGGTGATTTTTTGAATGGTTTGTTTCAAAGGAAAGAATATTGACAGTGGGTATACTTCCCATAAAGACATTAAACTATATTAAGGTGAGACAGAGAGAAGACTTAGCAGTCCTAATCCAAGTGATTTTTAAAACTGTAGTGGTGGAAACGAGTTTTTCTGTTTGAATTAGACCTCCCCAAATTGTACCCCATATGCTAGCCTGATGAAACAAACACGCTGTACTTACCAAATAATATTATGAGAAGGGCAATCGGCATCACAAACAGACCCACGAGCAAATCTGCCACCGCCAAGGACGTCAAAAAGTAGTTGGTAGCATATTGCAACTTTTTCTCCAGAGACACTGCCAGTATGACAAGTATGTTCCCCCCAATGGTGGGGATTATCACCAGGATGATCAGTAAAGCTGCCCAACGCACTTTGTTTCCTTGTTCGTCACTTGGGTAGTTCTGCTTGGGCTCTGCTGTTACTGAGAGAGGCGACAAAGATCCATTGCCAACTCCAGACCCGTTCAAGAAATGTAAAGGATAGGACATTTTTGTGTCCAGCAGGATGTATTCAGGAGCTGTATTTTGCGCAGGAATTGTGTATGGTGTAAGAGTTTGCTGTTCCTCTCTGGTCCAGGATGGTCCTGAAGAAAGGCCAGCATGGTCAGTATGGTAGACTGGTCATCTGCTATTTTGAGATACTGTAAGCATGTCCAAGCTGGTAGGCAGTTTTTTTATTCTGTGCCTTGCTGGGTGTAATTAGGTCTTTAAAAATGAAAGTCCTGTCTTGTGTCCATCTCTGCTTGATGGGGTTCGATGGTCTGGTCTCCCCTTTATAGCGAGGTTCAGGTTTCAGAATATTATAGGAGACAATTCAGTAGCTGTGAAAAGCGAGCAATGCATTAGCTTCCTTTTTATTTTTTTCTTTCTACAGCAGTAAAAAGTGATAGATTAATTTGGATGCCAAATGCTTCCCTTTAGATACAGTGTACGTAGATTTCCTCTTGATAAGTACAAACTGATGCAAAGGCAGATGCTCGCGTTGTGTATGTGCAACTCCTCCTCTCCCGGGTGTCTAGTCTGCAGCAGCGTGTGCGTAGGCAGACGGCAGTTCCCATATTTCCCCTTATTAAGAGTCCTATTTCTCCACAGAGGGTCACCCCAAAAATATCTTCAGAAATGATGTATGAGGTTTCCGTTTTAATGTCTACAGTTCCTAATTTATCAGGTGAGGGTCAGGAAGCTGTGGACAATAAAACACTGGTGACAGTCTCAAGGGGATTGTAAAGATTTATGGAACTGAGACATCTAAATTTACCCAGTACTTGATGGGGGGGCGAGTAAAGCGCTTATTTTTGTAATCTGAGCAGGGCTTTTATTAAGCACAGCCTTTTCTCTCCTTCTCTCTTTCTCTCTCTCTCTCTCAACTCTGCTGAAGACTTAACGCTTACATTTCCCCCTTCAAGCAGAGGCTAAAACGGCTGTCACAGCGTTAAGCTGAACGACCGCTCAGTTACTGAGAAGATTTGATGTGTTGCAGTTTTCAGGTGAAGAAAGCCTTACCTCTTTCTCTTGCATTTTAGTAGAGTTCACTTTGCATCCAGGAAGATCCTTTGTCATTTTATTTTTCATCACATGGTGGATTTTAAGATAAGATTTTTCTCTACTTGTTTATTTGGTTTTGGTTTTTAAAATTTTTCTAAAGCTTGTTTCTTTGTGTGCTTTTGTTTAGCACTTATGTTTCTTCTGACACCAAATTAAGAATTTCCGTTTTGGGAAAACTGTTTTTCTTACCCAGGTATTTTCTCCAACTCTTGAATGGAGGAGAAGAATCATCCTTGCCACATTTAATAAAGATAGAAATAAGGTCGTGTTCTTTTTTTTGCTGTCCTTTCTCTTCCATCCTTTTGATGATTTTACTTAAGTGATTAGCGGAGTCTACCTGCAGTTTTCTCTCTTCTTCATTAGCAAAGCTTGCAGTCTGCTGCTGCCCTTGTTTGTTGATTGACTTATTCCAGCCCATCCAGCTCCAGAGCTTGAAAAGCAGGGAAGTAAATGAGTGGGGGTTTGGCTGGAAAAGAGCCAGAGAGAGTTAATTGATTCAGTGCTCCCGTACTATAATGTGTGCTCCTTGTAGCTGTATCAGGATGTGCAGATCCTGTAAAGGACCCTTCACAATACAGTATTGTAGCTATTTGCACCCTGCCTGTGTATGCCTGCATGCTCGCGTGCTGTCTGGATGAAAGCACAGTTAACCCTAAAAACTTCTGCTGCCCTGTAAACACGCCAGGTTTTTTTCTTGACTAATTTTAGAAAAGTACTGTCTAGCACCCTCTTTCAAGTGCGTGTACTGTTACTTTAAATCTTTCTTCGTGCAGCTGCTTTTTATTATCATGAGCGTTCTCTTTTGTTACCTTCCAACTTCCAGTCAGATGTGTGTATGTCTTGCAGTTCCGCATTAAAATGGAAATAGAGCTCACTTCCAAGGGCGTTAGCTGGGCAAGTGTCTAACAGAGTCCTTGAGTTTAAGGCCAGAAGAGACCCCCGATATGTCACCAGCCATTATGTTCCATGAATTGTAAGTGCTCGCCAGGCTTGAGGAATCGGGTCCTCAGTGAGCTGTGAATCAGTTTGTATTTGTCTAAAAAAATTTAAAAAGCATTGATATCTTTAGGATGCAGCTACTTTGGGGCCAAAGAGAGAAAGCTGCTGGCAGAAATCAGTAGAAATACTTGACTTAAAGTGCATTCAGATCATACAATAGAATTTCCAGCAAAGCAGTTTTCACTTGTTCTTGATTTTTCGTGTTTAAAGGAAACTTTTGTTAAGATTCCATGCTGAATTCATTTGCAATTGATTTTTGATGTAGTTATTCTTCAGAAAAGTGTGTATTGGGGAATAAAGATTAATCCAGCTATACTAATTCTGTTTCCTTATCTGACTGCATCCCCATTGTCACCCCTGACCGTACTGAGAGAGTAGAGCACATGAAAACATACAAAAAGCAGAAATCAAGAGAGGACAATACTGTATTGGGCTGATGAGTGTTTGGGTTCAGTTTTCCATAAGATCAACTATGTCTAATCAACTTCTGTTTTATTCTGTAAATCTTGAAGGCTCTCCTGGTGTTAATCTAACTGAACTTCGAGTCTTTACCAGAATTTCTGTTGCATTAAACACAGCCAGTGTTCACTCTTTCTGATTATACAGATGAAGCTTGTTTTCCTTCATCATTGACACTTGAGCTATTTTTTTCCTTGCTGAAAGGTGGCTAGAGTTATTACCACTTTCTGGAGATGGAGCTATTGGCAGTATAACTGAATCATAAATGGAAAAAAAAAAATGTTCCGGAGTAAACCCACCGAAGTACATTAAAAGACAGATTAATCCTTTAACTTTAGTGGTCTGCTTGTGGGTGTATGCCACATGCAGACCTTCATGTCGTATCTCTGAATTTAAAGAACAGAATTTAAAACTTCTGGGGGGAAAAAAATAGACAATGCATCTGTTGGAACAGTCTGCTGATCATCAGCATCAGTTACTGATCAAGCCTGTGTTGGAGCTGAAGCATTATGTTGAAAGAGGGTTATTTTTTTTTACTTTTTACATTTTCTCTTTCACAGCACAGTAGACACTATACCTCAGTCACTTCAGTGTGGGGGATGTGTCAGAGTTACAGAAGTGTAATTTTGCCAACTTGAGTTCTGTATTACCTCTTCAGAAATTTTCTTCGCAGACTTTACTGTCTGAGAAGTATCACTGTTGGTTACTGCAGTGAAGAGCTGTTTTGGTCAAAGTGAAAATCAAGTGTTCAGACTTCTCTGGAATGCCTCAGTGGATGTTACAGTGTAATTTATATGACGAAATCATCTCTTTAGCCACTAAAATGGCTATATTAAATAAATAAACTGGGAGGGGGAAGGCACCTTGATGAAGCACCAGCTGAAGGCTGTACTGTTGCCAGCAGATTGCTCTGATGAAAGCTGCATGAACGCACATATCTAATTGAAAAGGAAATCTTTTTTTTAAATACAGTTGAAAGCAGAGTTTTCTTAGGAACTCAGAGGAAGATGATATAAGTTTACTTGCATGTAGGCTTGCATAGCGTATGTAACTGCTTGGTGGATTATTTATTTCAGATGACTAGAAAACTCATCTGCCTTTTATGAAGTTTTTTTGAACTTTCCAAGGTTTGAATCATTTTTGAGAAACACATCCTCCTGTGTATCTCTTCTAGATCTGCAGCAGGTTCCTCACTGTGTGATTCTGACCAGGCTTTTTGTGTCCTGCCCCATGTCCAGTTCCTCTCCTGTGTTGATGAGCGTTAAACCCTAAATCTTGCTAGACCCCACTCCTAATTCACCGTAACCAGAGTATTTGAACTGTGCATGAATTTTTTTTTTTTCCGCCTCTTGCTGTTATTTCTGTTTTCAAGTTGCCAATACTACTTTATTTGAATGGAGTCACGTCTGCATTAGATGTGAGCTGACACTGGTGAGTGACAGTGTTGTTCAGTCGGTGCTTGTCCCTCAAGTTCATCTGCTGCGCTGTTGGCAGCACTCAGCCTCAGCTGCCTGGCTGTGGGGGACCTCCTAGGAGTTCTCGTTCTTTAGCAAGTCTTGTTCAGGCAACCGGGAGGCATTTCAGGGAAAAACGTTGTGGAGAAGGAGGCTGTGTTGCACATGAGATAGCAACAGGAAATTCCCAGCATGGGGATATCTTGGATCCTTTTTGTTGAGGGAGAATGATGGGGTTTACACTTGTGCTTAGTCTGCACTGAAATATGCCAGTCCATTGCATTTTTCTCTGCAGGTTTTCCATCTTCTATGTTTTCCCCCCTCTGCCACACCCCCTCCTTCAGAAATGACTGCAAATTGTGCAATTAGATATCTGCATTCCTCCTTTATTAACTCGTTCATGGGTGAAATGAAACGTGTGTTAAGCTTTTCTTTTTTCTGTCACTACACTACGAAAGCAACTTGTGGAAATAGTTCTGTATCAAATGATTAATTCATGTCTGATAGTTTAGAAAGTCATAAATATTTAGAATCTTTTGAAATATGACTGGGGAGACTTAATGAGAAATTTAAAAGATATATTTGACATTATTCTTTAATTCTCGTGACATTTCATTTTTCACTGAGTTGTAAAGTCCTTAAATATTTAGACTAAAAAATAAATGTATGCTAGTGATGCTTCAGACACTTCCATTTTTAGTCTCAATCACAAGATCAGTGTGATGGTTTATTTTCAGTATTCTGTTTGTTTACTTATTGATGCTACTTTATATACATATACAGGTTTCATGTTCAAATATTGCTCAAATATAAGTAGCAATAGTTTTCTAACCTTCAAGATGTGCAACTTACAGAATTGGAGATAAACTGTGCAAAGATATTTGGATGTGATCTAAGAAATGAAGCAGAATATGCTTCAAGATAAGGCAATCTGAGTTTTTAATTTGTCTTGTGGCATTGTTGCGTGCCTCTTGGGGAAAAAAAAAAATAAAAAAAAATTAAAGGGGCTTCTTAAACAGAGTCGATGTACCTAACTGTTTCTCAGCTTTCAGTAGCTCAATAAGGCTCTTGTAGGCAAAGCCTACTAAGAGTTATGGTATCTGCAGGTATTGCAGTTGTAATTACCTTCAGAAAAAGGTAAAAATTCTGCTGTGTTAGTAACAGTCGACATCCTGGGTTTTGCTTTGTGAATTTTTGTACTGGAGGCTTAAGAAAAACTTCCTTTTCTCTTTGGAAGTAGTGAAGAATCCCAAACTTTCTTTGGTTTCTCAGAAATTCTAGGGCACTTACAAGCTAAGTATCAGTTTTTATAGACAAAATATAACATTTAGATGTATATAAATATGTCACATATAATTATATCCAGGAGATTAACGTCTCCAGGAATGAGATCAAAGTTGAGGCTAAGACAAAGGTAATTGGGCAGGAGTTAGGCAGCTCCTTTGCATTCTCTCTCACTCTGGTTTCAATGAAGATTCAAAATCCTTAGCTGCATAGGATGTTCGTTTCTTGTGAAGGTTTTGAGAACAACCAGTTGGTGAGTAAAACTAGTAAAATGCTAGCTATTATGTTTTGCTGAGAATCTCTCATTATTGACTTGTTGCATCTTTCTTCTTCTTTATTGTTTTGTTTATGACTTTTGAAACAAACCAAACTGGATCTTGGAGGAAGTCCTTCATCTGCAGCCCATATATCACAACAGTAAAACTTACCCTGGTGTAGGGTGGAAAGCAAGCTGTAGTTGACTGCTGTGGTGAAGTCCTGTAGAGGAAACTTTTAGGCTTTTTTGGCTTCTTGATTCATTTAGTTCCCTGGTAGCAGAACAAAGCTGGAGCTAGTTGTGATACTGTTTTGTCATATGTGTGTGTGGGTTCACTGTTGTTTGTGTTTTGATGACTTATGTAGGACCAGCTGAGCAATTTTCAGATGAAAATGAGGGACATAATCAGGCCATTCTTTTGTCATCATTTTGCTATTGTAGTAAAATGTAATTGCAAAAGCAAACTGCTTGAGCAAAACCAGTGTTAGGAAAAGAGGAAGGAACCAGTGCATTAAAGATAATTTGTTTTTTTTAAAAATAGCCATTGCCTGTCTTTCTAAGATACACAGCCCAGTTGAGAGACATGCCTTGGGCTTTAATGTAGGAATTTTTAGATGAAATTACTGGACTGTGTTATGGGAAAGTCAGAATAGAGGACTAATGGACGTTGCTTCTGTCCTCGAAGTATATTAAATATACTCCAGGTTTAGAATTTTTACTATTGACTTTTAAGAGAGAGGAAGAAATTGCGTCTGGAGATGAAACTTCTGCCCACTAAATCTCCAGATGTTATCCTGGTATTTCATGTGATATTATCTTTCTGATGTTTAACTTGCAGTAATGACAGATGTCCATATTGGGACTGACAAAGAGTAGCCCGTGGCTGAGCGTGACTTCTGACAAACCATTTATCTTTTTTTTAGTTCTGTTTTTAAGTTTTCTCACACTCTCATTACTTCTGTCCCGCCAGAGGTTTCTACTCGATAACTATATTGATTCATCCGTCAGCACAAGAGTAGTGGAGGTCTCCAGCAGGGAGCCAGAGGGATGGACTTAGTTTGGGAACCTGCGTGGGACTTGGTACCAGTGAAGTGGAAACTTCCTCCGTCAGCAGCAGGACTGCCCCTCCATTGTGCTGAATGTCAAGTCGGCAGCTCATGTGGCTGTCCTCGAAGTGAAGGGCGAAAGCCTCGGGCCAGGGGGAGGAGAACGTGGTCATGTTTTAAACATATTCCCCAACTGGATTACCAGTTGGAAGTAACGCCACAGGAGCATGATTGCAGCCTGTAGCTGCTTATGAGTGCTTTTTAGTTTTTCTTTTGATCACTTGGCAGAATTGTTTTGCGTTCTATGAATTTTATTAAGCTTGGGTTTGGGTTTTTATGGGCTCATCTTCGGCAACAGTGTGTAGGACTTTGTAAAGCGTCTCAGCAGTAGAGCGAGCAAGCAAATGTTATTGCTTAAGCATTGATGCCAACAGTGCTGTTGTGTACTGAAGTCCTGTTCCTCTGATATGCATTTTTACAAGACACTTTTGCTTCCTCAACCCACTTGTGGCTCTCCCTTCTAGTTCTCTATTATGTGGGAAGAAACTTTTTGAAGATTGCGGGTTTGAGAAGACTCTGTTACTGGGGAAGGTGGTGGGACACATTAAGTAGCTTTAACTCCTGAAGCAGATTTACAGAAGGCCCTCTGTCAAAATGTTTGACTGTTTAATGGATAGATTTGAGATAAAAGCATTTAAAATAATGGCCACAAAGAATGTAAATCTGGCTAAGAATTTTGTAATCAATTAGTGTACATTAATCCTGATTTTATCATGAAAACTGTGTTGGAACTTCTGAGCCTGCAGACACAAAGATGTGTCCAAGTTAATGATTCTATAAAATTGAGCTTTCTGAACGGGAATTTAATGATTAATGCTTCATGCGCATAATCATGTCTTTGCCAGAAGATGTTTTTCTCTTCTTTGCTCACAATCTGCCTGTTTAACTTGCTGAAGTAAAGCAAACACAAAGGTGTTAAGAGTCTTTGTGCAAGAGCTGAAGTCTTTTGTGCAGCTGAATGCTTGGATTCATTTATTATAGGATTTGTGACTTCTGGTCTCTGCATCAGCTCATTTCTTAAAAAAACATTGCCAGCATCCAGGCTGTTATTTGAGCAAGAGACTGACAGGTAGTTTTAAATGTGTCTTTTAGTTTGTAGTCTTCACTTCTACCGCTTGCTTGAAGGATGGAATCTTTCTGTTTCCCAACTCTTCCCTCTTTCTTAACATTTGTTTTCATGGCTGCATCTTGGAGGCAGCAGAGTTTTCATCAACTTTGTGTCTGTTCCTCTCTTATTTTTTATATATATATATGGGTGCTGTTTGGAGGGTGGTTTTTGGTAAGGTGCTGATGGTAGGTGGGATTCTTTCCCCATGTGGGTGTTTTAGGAAAACTCCTAAAGAAATGGACTGTTGGAAGCAGGGGTGAGGTAGAAGATCTGGGTACTTGCTGCCATTACTGCCGAGGGGTTGAGTAGCCTCTGAAACCTGGGTGCTTTCAGGTCCCTTCAGCAATGCTGGAGGAGGACTGGAGCCTGTGTGGTGTTGCTGCCTGTCTGTGGTCAGCTGAGCAGAAGAGAGGAGTGTAAAGAGGAGTTTAGGACTAGCCATCAGAGGAGACTATGGAAAAGTGTTGAAATGGGAAGAGATAATAACTAGAATAGAAACCAACTGATTTTGTGTGTGAACTATAACCAAAATATGAGCATGGTGTTATAGGAGCACGTCTTCTGTCCCCAATCCCAATGAAAGAGGAGAGTGAACTAGGTTATTGCTTAAGGTTTTTTTTTTTTACTTCTGTTTTCTGTGATTCAGGTATTCATTTAAATAAAACCAATGCTGGAGCATACTCTATAACATTTTTTCTACCTCTTGAGTTG